CCACTGTGAAACTTTAGGATATCAGAGATAAAGAGAAGATCCTGTAAGTTTCCAGAAAGGAAAAAAGAATTATACCCTAGAATTAGGAATAGGCATAATCTTACACATTTAAGAAAAAACTAAAACATAAGGAATAAATGTATTAAATTTTTTGATAAAAATTATTTTTCAAATGTTTCCCCCTTGGGTAGTGGTGCAATGGACTATGGTGAACTATTTATAGGTGATTTGGTGGTGGGTGTGGTGTGACAACATGCACATGAAGAGATGTGAACCCATGCCTCTGAATCATGCACTTGTAAACTACTGTTACCTCAGTAAAAAAAAAATTCACTGTTCAATCATAAAGAAAAAAGTATTTCCAACCTCAAAGTTTCCATTCAATCAAGTAACTTATAAGGGTAGCAAAAGGTCTTTCAGACATACAAAGTCTTCAATAAATGCTTTCTCAGGAAGTCAGTGGACAACATGTTTCACTAAATGAAGAAGTAAAGCAGAAAAAAAAAGAGGAAGAATAGGGATCAGGAAACAGGAGGGAGGTAATGGGAATTCCCAGGATGACAGCAGGGGAAATGTTAGGCCCACAGCTGTGCAGCAGGCCATGGAAGCCAGCAAGCCAGACCAGACAGGAAGTCAAGGCTCAGTTTGTGTGTGGGAGCAAGAGCTCCAAGAAAATACTAAAATGTATAAGTTATCTGAAAGATTTGATCTTGGGCAAAATTGCATGGAGAGGCATTTTACAGAGTTATTGCATGGTATGAGGAGACAAAATATTCTCAGTACTAAGCAAATGGAGGAAGGGAGACGGGGGAGGTAATCATTAACTCCAGCAAAAATAGAAAGTTACAAAAGAATGAAACTAGAATCACAATGCTCTACCTGTTTGAGTCATGAACATCATTTCAATAATGAAATCATAGAATGTGAATTTAATATCGAGATGTAATTTTATTGAGAAAATGAGGAGAGTAGAAGAAAGGCATAGTGAAAAAACTTCATCCATCATTATGGGAAGACCATAGGTAATATTAAAAATTGATGAGTTAATATACAGCAATACAGACATTTTATTGATAAGTTAAAAAGTAAGTCATGAAGAAATATTTGCAGAAGTTTAATATTATTACTTCTGGGGAGCATGACAAGGGTGGAGGATGAGGCAGGGGAAGGATAGAGGATCTTTGTTTCTTTTTTGTTGTTGTTTTAAGATTTATTTTTAGTTATACAAGAACCGGGGTACAGGCCAGATGCGTGGGAGGGTGAGAGGATTCACCAGAGACAGAACGGGGAACAGAACAGGCAGACTGATGAAATACACTGCTGAGGGGAGCAGCAGGCAAGACAGGAGAGGTCTGCTTGCCATGTGGGTTGCTCCGAGGCTGGCAGGGATCGAACCGGCACTGCAGAGGCTGCGGACATCTACACAGCGCTGTGCTCAACCGCCTGTGCCACGAGGGAGGCCCCTCCTTGTTTCTTTTAATGAGCTTGTTAGCATCATTTGATTTTAAAACTATTTTCTTATAATATTTGCATAAAAATTAAAATTTTATTTTCAGAAAATATATTTCTTACAATAGCTCAAAAGTTGACTTTATAATAGAACACTGAGCTCTGTTGTCTTTCTTTACTGGCCCACTCCATTATTGGTTCTCTAAGAGGTCATAGAAGGATTCTTGGGAGCCACAAGTTTGTGGGTTTGTATTAACTTCAATTGTATCTGAAAAATGTATTGCCTATTCTGGATCAGCTGGGTAGCAGTCACTTTGTTGCCACCCAGTTAGTATCATTTTGATGCATTCATTATTATGTGTGTATCCAGTAAAGTTAGCTGTTAGTGACACTCCTTTAATAAATGCAGGAGGGCCTCCCCGGTGGCGCAGCGGTTGAGCGCTGGGTTGCGAAGCTGCCCGCGGCCTCTGCGACGCCGGTTCCATCCCCGGCTGCTCCCCAGCCACCAGAGGAGGGTCCCACATGGCGTGCAGACCTCTCCTGCCGCCCGCTGCTCCCCTCAGCAGTGTACTTCGGTCCTTCTGCCTGCTCTGCTCCCCGCTCTGGCTCTGGTGAATTCTCTCACCCTCCTGTGCTTCTGACTGTACCCAGTGCATGTATAAACAAAACGAACAAACAAATAAATAAATAAAATAAAACATGCCTCTAAAAAAAAAAAATAAAAAAAAATAAATAAATGCAGGAAAGCGAGAAAGAACAGCAGATGATGCATTGGTTTCAGAGGAAGATCAGTTGAAACTATGGCAGGTCACATGAAAGAAAATTATCTAATAATTGAATGAATCAAGTGTTGAAAAAATTGAGTCATTTCACAAAACACATTGTAGAAGAATGTCATCAACTCAAAAGGATTGATTCATGTTACAGGTAGCAATTTGGGTTCAACAAAATATCATTTGTCACATCAAAGCAATGTTGTTAATTGGAATTGTATTTGTCAGTTTGTAGTGTTTTTAAAATAATGTATTTCTTAATTTGTATCACATAATAACTATAAGTATTAGAAGTTTATAATTTTTATATTAGTAGATAATGATACAAATAATAATGTAATCGTTTAGTTCAGTTATGGCAAGTTCTTTTTTTCCCTTTAAATTAATTTCAACATTGAACTAACCTGTTTGTAGAATCTGTACATGACTGAAATTGGAGAAGCACTGACTTTTTGTTAGCAATAAGTTTGGGAATGGGATCTCTTAATTTCCCCTTGCTGTTATAATAATTTGCCAAATATCTAGTGGCCTAAAACAATTTATTATTTTATAGTTCTGGAGGTTAGAAATGCAAAATGAGTTTCACTGACCCAGATGTCAGTAGAACTGCATTCCTTTTGGAGGATCTAGAAAAGCATTAATCTCTTTGCTTTTCCCAGCTTCTAAAGACTTCTGACATTGCTTAGCTTACAGCCTTTCCTTACTCTGAACTCTGCTTAGATCATCAAATTTCCTTTTCTGACTCTGATCCTCCTGCCTCCCTCTTTTCTTTAGGAGAACCCTTGTGATTACATTGGGGCCATGTGAACAATTCTGGGTAATTCTCATCCCCATCTTACGATCTTTTATTTAATCACATCTGCAAAGTCCCATGTAAAGTAATATATTCAAGGTTCCTAGAGCAGGGTATGGATTTCTCTTTTTTATTGGATATTTTTTACAACAGTCTTCATTTTTGTCCAAGGTATGCTTTCTCCTCTCAGATGTAGTCCATAAAATTCCCACCACCAATTCACCCATGCACCATCACCATAGTCCGTTATGCTCTTCCACCCCTGTCCTGATCCTTCTCCCTCATCCTCCCCTGCAGAATGTCTCTGATTCATATAGTCTTTTGAGTGAGAGTATTCTGCCTATCAGAGGGGAGTCACAATGCCCAGCCAGTCCCAAGAGCAGAAACTCTGATAGAGGACTGCCATGGGAAAATGTGTAAATATGTTCTCTGGAAACAGAAAGAAAAGGGGAGTGATATAGTTAAGAGAAAGCAGCATTTCATGGTGAATGAAGAGGAGGTAAATCTTTTTCATAGAAGAATTTAGGGACAGGTTGAGGGCTTGAGAAAAATGGAAAAGACTTGGGAAAGCTGCTATGGAAGGTAGGAAAGCCTCCTAAGCCTCTAAGAAAAGAAGGCTCCTTCCCCAAGGGCTTACCTGGGGCGCTAGTACTGCTACCTGAGTAAGACGTGGGGTCTTAGATCACACCAATCACTGTGAACATGCAGGTGGTGTGAAGTCCCACGAAGACAGCACTAACCCCAAGATAAAGAGCTCTCAACATCTTTAGTTCAAATTCTATGAATAAACCAAACAATGACATCAGAGTTGAAGTGGTTCTACTATCTTCTTTTTGGTATGTCATTGTTTGTCTTGTTCCATGATTCCTATAAGAAACCTGATACTAATCAGGCTAGCCTTAGGGGGACGGGGAGAAGATGAATCGTAGAATACATTGGAAATAAACTAAGAAATCAGAAAAGCTGATTTCTGCCCCCATACAACAATCATGAAAATTTCCTCTAGCAAAGGGACCATGTAATGAGAATTTAAAATTTTTTAAAGGACAAATCAAGAGTCTGATAATCCTTTATCCTAAGTAAAATAATCCAGAAGGAAAAAGATAAATACCGGATGATTGCACTTATATTTTGTGTATAAAAAAACCAAACAAAGGATCAAAGACAAACCTTAAAACCAATACTTGAAAGTTGGCCATAGATCTGAAGCATGCAGGAGCCGAGGGCAGTGAGAAGGGGAAGGGAGAAAAAAGTGGGGGGTAAGCCCAAGGGACTGTGGTGGAGGATGATGGGTGATTTCGTGGTGGGAGAACTGGGGTGACCATATCTGAGGGGAGAAGTCTTTGTGGTAAAAAAAATAAACAAGGATGTAAAATAATAGCAATTCAGGGCCTCCCCGGTAGCGCAGGCGGTTGAGTACCGCGCTGTGAAGCTGTCTGCAGCCACTGCAGCTCAGGTTTGATCCCAGCTGGACAGGGAGATACCCACATGGTGCAGCAGACCTCTTCTGCCTCACCCGCCTGTTGCTCCCCTCAGCAGTGTATTTCGTCGGTCTGCCTGTTCTGTTCCCCGCTCTGTCTCTGGTGAATCCTCGCACCCTCCCACACATCTGGCCTGTACCCCAATTCTTATATGTATAAATAAATAAATCTTTAAAAAAATAAAATAATAGCAGTTCAATAAAAAATGTATTTGAAAGAGAAGGAAAGAAGGAAGGAGGGAGGAAGGCAGGCAGGCCGGTCTGGTAAGATGGAGCTGCTGCTTCTCTTCTCTCTAAGTCATTTGCTAGGAGCCAGCACTGAAGCTTGAGTTTCTCCCTTGCTATGTCATAGGATGTTCCTTTTCCTCCCCCCCTCCTGCTGCCGGGGTGCATGTGTGTGTGTGTGTGTGTGTGTGTGTGTGTGTGTGTGTGTGTGTTTAGTTTCTCTCTCCCTGGTAAGAACACAGTCGCCTGCCTGTCTCCTGTTGTCGCTGCAGCTCTGAATAGCTTTTTTTGCTGCTTCTTTCCTCTCCTTTCTCTTTCTGCTTAGCTCCTTGCCTTCTGGTAAGTATGACAAACACTCCCCGAAGCCCAGTGAGGGGATGCAGGGTGCGGTTTGTAGTGTTCAAAACTTGCAACTTTGGGATTGCCAGTGAGCTCTTGAAGAACTTCCCATTGTTTTATTTATAATTAAAATGTGTTGCTCAGGAAGGGAGATGTGTGTGTGATAACCCAGTGGGACTGCCAATCCAAGTGAAAAATTCTTTCTTAGAGGAAGAGAAAAATAGGCATTAGATTTTCTAGAAGATACAATTTAGAAATAATTTCTTGTTGTAAAATTATTTAATATAGAAAAGGACAATCTCAAAGTGATAGAGTTCTTGGACTTTGTTTTGTTCTTCTTGTTGATTTATCTTAAGGTTACTTTTGGAATTCAGCTGTCCTGTGGTTTACAATGACAGTGTTATACTGTTTTAAAGTAAATATGGAACATGAGTTTAAAGGACAGCCATACAATTAACATAAAAAACATCATTAATTATGGCTTCTGATGAATGAAAATGAAATCAAATACAAACAAAACACTTGCTTTGAACTAACCACACTAAAACTCCTAGGGACAGTTTTATATTCATTGCTTTGAAGTTTGGTTTACTTTTGATTTCAGTTCAACCTAAGAAACCTACCTGACACTTTAAAACCCACAGATGAATTTAAACCAGTGTTTTCAATTTGATTTAAAAAGTATTCTCTTCCCTTGATTTTCAAGGATGAAGCGCTAAATGCCATGGCTCCTTTTAGAAGAGCTTAAAATAACTTCTGGCTGGACAGCAGGTGTCATGTGTCTTTCTCAGAGTTCATGGAGGGGCGTCAGATATATATAGATGAGTGTGCCCAACAAGTAGAGGTCAGGATAAAGAAATTCCAGCCAATGAAAAAGACAATGAAGCTGTTTACTGCTTCATTTGATAATAAACTTGGTGAATTAAAATGGGTAAGAGAAAAAGGGCTTCCTTCAAAGTTAACGAGTACTTGGTGAGGAACACAAGTGGGTGGCAAGGTCTGTGTGCTGAATTTTCCATTCTCAGTGACATTCTAGCACTCAATTCTGCCTGCCACGAGAATGGGAGGAGGAAGCTGTGCAGTGCATGGAGGAGTCTATTTTTGTTTTCACTTTCAACATCTCCACACCAGCAAACCTTATGTGTTATTAGTAGCCTGCCATGTTTTTTAGCTACACAACACAGTAGTTCCAGTAAAACTCATTTACAAAGAAACTGTACCATAACTTAAAAGCTTCAGCCAAATCTATTTCCACCCTAGAAATGGTCATAGCTAGAAACCCTGGAGTCTTGATGCCACTTATTCCTCATTCCATATTTCCCAGAATGATACTACATCTGGATTTTTTCTTAGTTCATTTCCTCCCTGATCATGAAATATTGCTATTTCTTAAAAATGATTACGTTATTGTACACTTTCTTGACTAAGAAAACTGTAATCTGTTTCTAAGAAAGTAGGTTTTTATACAAGAGCAAAAATGTATTATAGAAATTCAAGGAATTATCATTAAGAGCATCACTATGCTTCATTTGCTACTTTATGCTTCACTCATTCTTTGTCTCATTTCAAAAATGATGCTAATTTGAACCTCAGAAAAAAGTTTTGCTAATTAGTAATCATGTGGTACTCATCTTGGAAAAGGGAAATACCAAAAAAGCAAGAAAGTATCTCCTCTACCCAATATAATAATTCATTTGCATCAATGTATTTATATTAATTAAATCTTGATCTACAGAGTAAAATAGTTTAATAATGTTTGGCCATGAATAATTTTAGTAAGTTCAATGGTTCTTGTGTTAAATTTTTTTTGCATTAAATATTTGCAAAAAACTAACACTTTTACATTGAAATATACCAAATGTATACATACATGCACTTCCAATGAGTATAAATCTACATAGAATTATAGAGAAAAATAGTAACAAAAATGGACTATTCTAAGCAAAATGACTAGCATTTTGACAAACATCTTGAATTACTCTGTTATTGTCAATAGCAGATATTATCCTGATTCAGAGACCAAAATCAAATACAGGCAAAAAGTGTCACTTGATTTGAAAAAATAGCTATCTACCATCCCTACTTACCTAATTGTAATATCAGTGGTTTGTGATAGTATATTCATTCTGTTACAAGCTGTAATAACTCAGTGGTACTTGGGAATATCCCTATCATTTACAGTATTTGAGCTAATGACAAGAAACCTGTGTTTACCACTAGACACTGCTCCCAGTATGGAGAACAATCACTCTGTCCAGCTCTCGGGGGAAGCACAGTCAACACCTCCTCCAGAGGACAGTTCCTCATCACCCCGTCAAAATGGTCTGGAGAAGCACAATGGTCGGGATCCCTCCACCCCTGGGCAGCCACCAGAAAAGGAGGCAGGAATGCAGCCTGAACAGGCAGCTTGTGACGTCTCTGAGGAGTTGGATCGACGTCTGGAGGACATCATCAGCACATACGGGTCAGCTGCCAGCACAGCAGGGCAGGTCTGCACCGAGCCCAAGGAGCAGCCTGAGCACCCAGACCCGCTGGACAATGAGGACAGGGACTGTGAGGAGATTGCTGAAGAGAGCGAGAGAGAACCCATGGCTTCTGGAGAGTCCCCCACAGCCAAAGAGCCTGCCAGCAATAAAGAGCAAAAATTGGAGAAGAAAATCCTAAAAGGATTAGGCAAGTAGCTTTGTTCTAATATATATGATTTTTCTTGGTGCTTAAGAGAAGCACATCCTCCTTTACCAGAAGCCACATCTCACGTTTGGATTATTGCAACAGATTCCTTTAGGTTTGCCTAGATTATCTTTTGTTATACTTGTCTTAGTTGCTGCCTCTCAGAAGTGCTAAAGTGAACTTATTAACACATTGCCCACCTACCCTCTGAACTCAGTGTTTCCCATTGCTCTTAGGACAAAGACCAAAATTCTTAATACCAGTTTTTCAGGTGCCAATCGTCTAACCAAACCAGTTTCTCCTGCTTTATCGCCCGTCACTGTACACCACAATATCCTCTTCGTGAATGAGCAGTCTCCCCGGTCATCACCACCACTGCTGCCTAATGGCTCGTCATTCTGATCTCCTCTACCTAAACACCCCTACTCATTCCCATCTCAGCCCTAGGACACTTAACTCATCCTAACTCACTTAATATACTACTCAAGTAGTATATTCTTAACCCCACCTTTGATGAAGTCTGTTGTGTTTCTATGGTACCATATATCTTTCCTTTCTGGCATTTATCATCATTTGAGAGGATAAATTTATATCTCTGATTATTTGATGATGTTTATCTCTCCCATTAGCTCTTTTGTTAAAGGCATCTTTTTATCTCTGTATTTAACCATCATTAGAAACAAAGTGCCTAGAACAACAGATGACACAAGCTAGGTCCTCAATAAATATCTTTTATAAGGATGAATCATTGAATGAAAGGGAAATTGTTCAAAGCAGAGATAGTGGAATCTGTATTTTAAAAACACTAATATAGGGATGGTTTTATATGTACAGATTCGAAACTGGTAAGTCTGGAAGGGGCTAGGCATTCTGGGTAATTTTGAAATAATCAGATTGTGGAAGCCGTGATCTGACACTTGAGCTCTCTGATGCCTCACAGGCATGGAGTCCACACGTGCATAGGTCTGTCTCCAAGGCATTCAGTGTTTTGTAGTACAAGGAAAAAATCAAAAATATACTAAATGTTAACCTGCTATACAAATAACAAAATATTAGAGCAGGAAGAGATTTCAGTGAGTATAATGATTAAAAAAAAAAACTGATTAAAAAAAGGAAGAGAAGATACTCTATGTGGGTAAAAAAAAGTGACCCCTTGGACACACTCAAGCATTTCTAGCTCCCCAACATGAGCCGTGCAGCGGTTTTGCATGTGGGTGCTCTCCCTAAGAGGCACCTTGGATAGGCTAAGTGTCACAGGTGCAAGTCAGACCTGTCAGTTGATCACAAACTTGTCTTCAGAACAGTGCTCATTTGCTTTTCATGATACTAACACACATGTGGTTTGGTTTTGTTCCCTTATTACTGACCTTTCTTAACCATCCACCAAGGGCCAAATCCGTTGGTTCCTGAGCCAAATCTGATCAAGACACTTACTCAGAACGGTAGTCTTCCTGTGGATACCTCCAGCAGACTGGGCAGACTGGAGCCAGGGGAGAGGGAGGTCCTGATTGATGCAGCCCAGCTGCTAGAGAAGTAACACACAGCACCTGTCCGGGGGCGTGGGCCTCAGTGATTAGCGGATCAGAGACAGCAGTTATAACAGATGGTAATTGGAGGGAACCACACACTCCTATCTTCTCCCCTAAATGAGACCAAGCCTCTAATCTGAGTTGACTCAGTGGGCAAAGAAGGACAAAACCAGCTGTTAGGAATGAGGTCACTCTTTTTCTTTTTTTTTTTTTTCAAAGAAAGTCTTTTATTTCTCGAGGTTTCCCTGGCACCAAAATTCCACATGGGATTTAGTGATTTAGAACAAGTAGACAAATCTTGGATACAAGCTGTGGCTCCGCCAGTGCAAATTATGTACCTTCAGACTTCCCTGAGCCTTAGATTCTTCATCTATAAAATTAACCATTTGGATAGCCTTTGAAGTTCCTTCTAAACAAAATTCCTTGATGCCACTAGAATGATCAGATTTAGCAAATAAAAACTCAGGGTGGCCAGGGAAATTTGAATTTAGTTGAACAGTGCACAATTCTCTAGTACAAGTGTGTCCAGGTCTTGCATTTCATCTGGAACCCTAATTGCATGATATAGCTGCCTCTCCAGGATGAAAAGCAAATATTCCAGAACAGGAGAAATGCCTTGTTTTGTGAAAGTTAGTATTCCTAATTAGATTTTTATTGGGAAAAAGGATGTACTATGTGGCTTGACCTTCCTACTTAATTAGACAGAGTGAGTAATACAGACAGGTAAGGATTGGAAAACTGTTCTGTCTTGATCAGACTTTGTGAAAAGGTGCAGTCAGCAGTCAGCGTACTCGCAGGCCTCAAGGCCCTACTCTCCCCTCTGCGCACTCAACCCAATTGCCACTTAAAGACAAGGGTTCTAGGTACCAAACTGGGCTGTTTGAGCTGGAAAAGACAAAAGGAAGTGCAATGGGGAAAGAAAGTATCTGATGTTCACCTTTAAATAACCACGAGCAGATGAGTTTTAAAACGTAACACCAACTCCAACTGAATAGAAAATGAAACTGCCGCAGAGACTAAGGCCTGGGTGGGAGCAAGGAAGGCCAGGGAAGTCTGAGCTACCTCATGGAAGGCCTGTGGAAAAGCCTTCCTTGATTGGTGTGTTTTCTCTCTATTGATTTTATTCTGTGCTTAGTAGGAAATATGATTGGATTTATTTCCACCCAAATCTTATAGAATGAACTCATGCACGAAAATAACAGAATTGGTTCCCAAATCAAGATAAAAGATACTGGAAGTACAGCAATCACCCCTTCCCAACAGGCAGACTAAACTGTCAAGTTTCTTTGCTTTAGGCTGAGAATCTAGCAACTTCATGTGTCAATGTTGGCTGTTTCATTGTAGTCAGAAACTGATCGATTTTTGGAAGTGGATGGTTTATTCTTTCAGTCACAGTTTTTGATTCTTTTGAGCATTTCTAAAATATATGAAAAATACTGGAATACTTAAACTATTTAGAAGAGTACTAAAAATGGACTTTTAGCCTGCAAATTTGAGGATTACTCTTAGTGGATACTTACTGAGAATCTATCATGGGCTAATCCTCACTTACTCTGTCAGGTAGGGCCCTCCCTTCTTATGGAAAATAAATTATATCTGAGGTTCAGGTGGGTTAAGTGGTTTGATCAAGTCGGAATAATAGCAAGTAGACAATCTGAGATTCCAATCTTTATCATCTGGTGTCAAGTTCAACACTTATTTTTAAAATATTGTTGTGATTGTTTTTCTTTAAGGCAAAGAAGCCAACCTGCTAATGCAAAATCTGAGCAAGTTGCAAACACCTGAAGAAAAGTTTGACTTTTTATTCAAGAAGTACGCTGAATTGGTAAGCTATTTGATTAGCTATCTTTTTTTCAGGGAGCTTCAGACTGTGATTAGAGGCTGTTCGTTTTTCAGGTACATCATTATGGACCATGACTGGTTACCTGAGACAGGCCAAAACTAGAATTCATAACAGTAAAATTTTTAAAAGGAAATAGAAAAGCTGAGAAATATCAGCAAAAGGAAGAAAGAGTTGGAGTTTATTCCATCTTCACAATTTGGCGGGGGGCGGGAGAGAAATTATAGATAATTGACAATTGTGGACATTTTAAAGTTCTTTTTGGCTATGAGATTAAACAGAAATACACTTAATAGAAAGCAAGCTCTCATTCAGTTCCTCTTCCAGAATTGCTGAGGGGTCCCCTGGAGAAAGCAGAGGGTTGAGTTCTCCCCCCTCACTTCATGGCACACTCTAATTTGGTCTGGTTGACTTATTTATCATTGATTTATTCATTCTCTTTGATCCACAGTCTTCTCCCCTCCACTTGGTTGCAGCATGCCTGATGTGGTTTGCTTTTGTGCTCAGTGCTGGGTCCTCCCCATACAGTCCCCCAGTAAATTAGAGCCTCTAGGCAAAAGGGAAGCCATTCCCAGACAGCGGAGAATCCATGAATGGGATTGGCCCCTTGCTGGTAGTCCTAGAATTAGCCAGTTGCGGGGGGGAAAAAGGGAGAGCTCAATGAGGCGGCATCCCTGTCCAGGGGCCTCACAGCACTTGCTAAAAGAGCGACCTCTCAGTCGTGGGCAAGTGGCTGAGACCGGCAGCCGAGACACAGCATCCTCTCCAATGAAGCTTATCACTGCTCTTTCATTTCTGCTTTTTTTCTTTAAACATTTTATTTGCTTATTTCCTTTGAAGATGCAGTGACAGGAAAATGAAACTTAAGTACACAAACACACATACAGGGGACAGGTTAAACTGCCCCCAAGGACTTACCGTGCAGCTGAAGAAGTTCAAGAGTCACTGTCTCTCACTGTCTGGGGTGCCTCCCAGACCCTGAACTTCATTCTCTTAACTGTTTCCTTAAAGAGGTTCTCCAACACTGAATATGCTGCAGGCCCTGAAACCCTTCAATTTCCCGGTGGCATCTCCGTCTTGATGGAGTAGAGCTTCATGAGTAACTTGTTTTCTTTGTTTTTCTGCTCTAAGCTTAATTCTTTAACCCCCATTTGTTCTTTCCTTTCTTCCTTTTACTTTCAGGCACCCTGTTATATTGCATTGTCCCTGCAACAGGCCCAGAAAAACTCTGAAATCTTGAGTGACGAATTGCTTAACTCTGCCAACAATGTTTTTTAATTATTTTTTAATCACATAAACACGTCATGATGATATAAGAATGCTGAATACAACAAACAAAAAAAAAATCTACTTCCATCATCTAAAGCACAAACTTTGTTTTATCCATCTGCCTTTCCAGTTCTGCTAGGAATACAGAGCTACATTTTATTATATTAACCATCACAAAACACATACAACAATTCAGTGTCTGGTATTTTGTTTTTCGTTTTTCTTTTTTTTTTTGGGGGGGGTGCTCATGTAAGAGACATTTGCTAATGTAATTTTTAGTCTTCATAATTACATTTTGTAAAAGTTATGTCACTTTCTATTAAATGGCCTTATCTACTAGTACTCTAATTTGGAAACATTTCCATTCCTTCCACTATCTATTTTACCAAACACTGTTACAATGAACATCATCGTGCATTAGATTTGTTGCTTATGCTTTTTTATGATCTTAGGGAAAGTTCCAAAATGGGATCACTAAATCAAACAGCATGAATGCTTTTTTTTTAAATGCCCATATTGCTTTCCAAAGGAATAGTAAAATTTGAAAGCAAAATTTAATACACCCATTTTCCTACAACTTATTTATCCTTGGCTATTAACAATCTATGAATAATTTCCATACCACAAAATATTAGCTGTCAAAAATAATATTTCCCCCCAAAATTTGGCCCCTATTCTCAGCTGTCCATCATTGCTATTTTCATTATTTTCCCTTTGCCTTTCAATTTACCTACTCACACCAAGGTCATTCATGTTCAGATTCTAGCACATGTTCTGTACTTGGTGGGGCTGGGAAGCATTGAGACCAGCGCAGGAAGCCATTTCTAGACAGTGTTTCAGCCTCACAGCAATACCCCAGGGAAGAATCACTTCTTCACTTTTGAGATTTTCTTCACAAGTCAGAACTGTTCCCCCTGGTCTCAAGAAACTTCCTGCACCCACTCATTCTCCTCATCAAGCAAGACCCACAGAGGTTATTTTTACCTAGGTCCCACTCAGTTCAAGCCTTCTTGCTATACTTTGGCATTTGTATCATGTCCTATAGTAAACTTGAAAGCCCGAAAGATTGTTCTAAAAAAAATAAATAGGAGAAAATTGACCACCACCCCCTCCAAAACCTATTACATTTCCTTTTCAGAAAGGAAAAATTATGAAGAATTTCAGTCTTTCACTTGGAGACCAACACCCATTTCCATGCTCACTAATTTGGATATTAGTGTAGACAGTACCTAAAATATGTGTTAACATAAAATAAATCATCAAATTCAACTCTGTGAATCAAATTACCACTCTAGCTTACTCATATTTAAAGATTCTAAATTCTGTAATATTATCTACCAGTGTATTCATTAATAAACAAGGATAAGTTAATTAATAAGTAAGGCTACTTTATGACTAAAATGAAAAAATGACCAGGGAAGAAAGTTTTTTCAAATTTTCTAAATTTTAATGTAGTTAGACCATCGCTACAACTGTACTAATTTAGTGCTTGGCATTAATTTCACTTTTTTAACATAACAGTAAAAGAGAGAGCAAGAACTAGAGAAATTGCAGATAAAAATCCTATATGCCTGTTATAATTGTACAGAAGAACAGTGTCTGGGTACATTATTAAACCGCAACGCCAACATTTGGCTGCAGTTGACTCAGTGGCAATATGTTTGCTTACATTCATTAGGAAACCCCATATGCATTCACAGAAGTCTGAAGTATTTAACAAAATTAGCCACACTCTGAAAAAAATTGTCAGAGAGTTAGCATTTTTATTTAGAGCCAACCAAGACAGACCTAGCTAAATTTTAAATGTGTATGGTCTTGCAATAAAACTAAAACATTGACTGGTCATTGAGCAAACACAAATCATCTCTTCCAATTTATGAAATCCATGTAGGGAATCACCCTCCAGGCACTCAGAAAAAGCCACCTAGTGCAGTGCTCCCCAAACAGGCCAGTTTTGCCAATATGGGACCATAGGTAATGTCTCTCTGGAGATATTTTAGGTGCAAAAATTGGGGGATATTACTAGAGACCAGAGATGCTGCCAAACAGCCTACAATGCATAGGACAGACCTTCTACAAAGACTCCCCTGACCCAACATGACAATAGTACTAAAGTTGAGCTACCTGACATATGCTTTAATATGTTTCAGAAGGTAAAGTGTAAATCATAATAGCAACAACAACAAAATACAACTTCCAAGAAGAGGCAATAGGTCATTTAAAGTCTAAATATGAGCATGAGAAGTTTTACTTCTAGCTATGAAATGGTGCAAAATGACAGGACCCAATCTGTCCTATGGATAGCAGATTAGAGTAAAAAACCTAAAGTACAATTTTCCAATTGAACCTCAAAAAGGATATTCATTTCAACTGATATTTATAGTAATATGGGCCTAGATTTTTCTGAGGCTAATTCTTACTAATAAGTAAAAAGAGTTCATAGTATGAAGATTAAATATCAAGTGCGACTCTTCCCAGTTTAATCTGGCAAGGGTTTATGTTGCATTTCAATGTGACAGGAGGGAGGGCGGAAAAGAGTAAAATAAGATGTAAATTAAAGGAAGTACAACAGTCCTGCCCATCTAATTCAGAGAAAATAAAGGTGGTTTTTTTCAAGAGAGGGAAACTGAGTCACACAGCCAACTTCTGCAGTGTATGTATCCACTTGCATCAGGCTCTGTGAAACAACAGGAATGAATGGGGTCCGGAAGCCCCATGAGCTCCCTGCCAACAAGGCCATTACTAGGTTGAGGACCTCCCTGGCTAAAGCACCTTCAGGCACTGAGTCCAGAGAGGAAGTGCCTCCAGAGAGCTATGGCCCCACTGCTTGTCAGTCTGAGACCCACACTTCTAGAGTGGGCTCACCGCTGGTGGCTTCAGGATCAACCCGGGAGGCTGATCCTCAAACTCCCCCTACCTAGACTCGAATTCCATAAATATGTTGCCAAATTTCACAAATAACAGGACACACTACCCAGTGATACTTGAATTTTAGGAAACACATTTCTTCCCCTAAAAGCATGTCCTATATAATACTTTGGATATACTTTTACTAAAAAATTATTTAAAATTCAAATTTAACTGAGTGTCCTATGTTTTGCTGTTCTGCATCTTACCCTACCTACCCAGAGCTTGAGCATTCCTCAGTGCCTTGGCCTTGTGCTACAGCCATTTCTGAAACTTCGGTGTCAAGTCATCCAGGCTTAAGTAATTAAGGGGTACTTGCTCCCCTTTTCCTACAACCCACTGATTTCATCATCTGTAACCAGGAGACTGCTTTTCTTTTCCCCATTTTTAAAAAATAGTTGCTATAAGCATGTTTTGAGAAAGAATTATGAGAATTAAATGTAAACCAAGCAGACAAACTGTTGATGGATGGATAATCACAAATTCTGGCAGGTTACAGATTCTGAGACCAGCATCATTGACCAGCATCATTAGATAGACTTGAGAAAAATAAAGCTCTTTCTACCACACCCATCCTCCAAGAAGATCAGAAAAAGAAAAGATCAAGACTACTACTAATAAGGAAAACTCCATTAATAAGGAAAAATCTATTAATAAGGAAAAATCTATTAATACAGCTCTAACAGCTGTATCTACAAGTACTGCCAAAGGAATAATTGTGAAGTTTATTTTCCAGAGACCATGATAATAGCATAAAAAAAATGTTTCCAAACAACCAAAGAATGATCTTTAGGACTTTCCTTTTTTGCTCCTATTCTAACTCAAAAGACATTTCTCCCACTTTTTTTCCCCACATTTGCACCCTCACGTCTAGCTGGATGAACATCGCACTGAGCAAAAGAAGCTAAAACTCCTCCAGAAGAGACAGGTACAAATCCAAAAAGAAAAAGACCAGTTACAAAGTGAACACAGCAGAGCTGTCCTGGCTCGGAGCAAGCTGGAGAGTCTGTGCCGGGAGCTGCAAAGGCACAATAAGACCCTGAAGGTAGGAGGCTCAAAGGTCAAGAGTCACACACTCCCTTGCATGCCTCCTGGCCCCAGGCTTCCCTCCTCCCGGAAAAAGTGTGTTTTAGCAGAAAAAGGGATTCAAAGGCTAGCCTGCTGGGTCATATGGTAGCTCCATTTTAGTAGACTGAGGAATCTCCACACAGCTTTCCATGGTGGTTGGACCAGTTTGCACTCCCACCAGCAGTGTAGGAGAGTTCCTTTTTCACCACCTCCTTGCCAACATCTGTTGCTGCTAGTTTTTTGTTTGTTTGTTTGTTTGTTTTTGATATGTGCTGTTGTTACTGAGGTAAGGTGGGATCTCAATGTCGTTTTGATTTGCAGGGGAGGAGGAGGGAGAGGGATCAGAGGGGGAGAGAGAGGAGCATAGGGGACTGTGAGATGGTGCACGGGTGAATTGGTGAAGGAAATTCCATGGAGTATATACCTGGGGCGGGGGAGGGGATAAAAAAAAGTAAACATTGTTTAAAAATGAACAATAGGGGCCTCACCTGGTGGCCCAGGGGTTGAGCGATTGATTGAGCTGGACTTTGAGGCTGCCCGCAGCCCCTGCAGCACCAGTTTGTTCCCCACCACCGGTGAGGGTCCCACAAAAAAAAAAAAAAGAACAATGGGGGCCTCCCTGGTGAAACAAGGGGTTAAGCACCGCACTATGAAGCAATTGGCAGCCTCTGCAGCACAAGTTCTATCCCTCCTCAGCCCCACCCAGGGAGCAACCCACATGGCGCAGCAGACCTCTCCTGCCTCACCCGCTGCTCCCCTCAGCAGTGTACTTCGGTCAGTCTGCCTGTTCTGTTCCCCACTCTGTCTCTGGTGAATCCTCTCACCCCCTGCATCTTTGGCCTGTACCCCATCTCTTGTATGCATAAATAAAAAAAATAAATCTTATAAATGAACAATGATGTAAATATATATATTTATATATATAAAGACATATATAAAGGCTAGTCTGCCACGTGCTTGCTTGTGACCTTCCATATATTATTGTACCTGCCTGGCCTGTGTCCTCATCTGTAAAATGGGGATTATACATACTTTATTGTGTGGCTGGGGGAAAATTAAATGAGGTAACCTATGTAAGGTGCCTGACACAAAGCGGATCCTTAGCGAAACATGGGCCCTTCCCCTTACTTTGTATTATGCCAAGTTCATTTCTGTTTTTTAAGGTAGGCTTTCCTTCTACTCTTCAAAATGCAAATTGAAAAAAATTCAGTATTTTTTAGCATTATAGTGAAATGTACATAGCATCACATAAACCGACACAAAGCTCATTGACACAATAAAGTAAGATTAAGTGCCAAAATGTCAATAGTCATCGAAGAAAAAAGCTACTTGAAAAAACACTGAAGTTCTTCAGACTTAGTTATTCAATCTAAAAATAATAGACTGATCACTTCATTCAGTCTGCATGGGCTTCATTAATTACAACATAAACCTCTAACTGTGTGGATAATGTGCTTTCTCAGACACTAGCACCATTCAGTGAAGCAAGACTCAGGACTCTCCAACATAATACTGCATGTGCTCACAGTCCCTCTTCCAGCTGAAGATCCTAAAGTTTTAGACAATAATAAATTAGGCACCAGTGATTATTGTGATTACACATGTTTAAAAGAAGATTCTTTAAGAAATAGATGACAATCATTGCTTAGCTTGTTCATTGGAGTCAGGCAGAAAAATAGAAGAGCATGATGGCTCTTCAAATGCCAAACTGTGTTATGATGTGTGAGAAATGGAAGGCCAATGTGATCAACTCGCCCTCTCGGATTACACAAACAAGTCACGGGCTTCTGGGATTTCTTCAATAGTTGCACTGGGGGCCATCAGAAACCCAGGTTAGATCACCCCAACTCAAGATGTGTGTGCCAATAATAGCTCTCTAAGCTTCCATAAATCTGGCTTTCAGAGGTGTTATATAGTAAGTAGATAATACTTAAGTATAGTTGGATGATTTATTAACAAAGAAATTTAAAGAGTGGAATGTTTTGGCTTAGTCTCTTTGGGTTGCACTCAAAGTCAGAATAATACAAGTGGTAGGAGATTCTGTAATTACACCTACACATTTTACTGATGAAGAAAGCGAGACTCACAATCCAAACCAGTTATCCAAGGTCATCCATATTTTGTGTATGAAAATCAGGATGCAAATTCAAAATATTTTCTAATTTCCCTTCTGATTATTTTTGCATATGGATTATTTAGAAGTGCTCCTCAATTTTTTTCATTGTATTTTTTTATCCTGATGAACACATAGTGTGCATTTAGAAAGAATGCCTGTTTTTCCCATGTTAGGAATTTTGTGTGAGTAAAAACTAACTCTACATTTATATAATTTTTGTCTCATTTTATCAATTGTTGAGGAACAGATGCTAAAAATACCCTAGTGTGATTGAAAATTGTCTGCTTCTCTTTTTAATTATGTCAATTTTTGCTTCACATAGTTTGAAGCTTTGATATTACATGTGTACACATTTATAATTATTATGTCTTCTTGATGAATTGACTGACTATGAAATGTCCATCAGTAATACTTTTTATCTTTATTTCTATATTATCTGATATCACTATAATTATTCTCTTACTTTTACTTCCACTGTGCAAGATTCCCTGTAATCCAAAAGTAGACAGTTCCTGTGAAACCTTATTTAAGCCCAGATAGCATAAAGAGAAGATGCAATTACCATTAATTTATATGGAAAAAATTTTAGCATTCCCATATGCAAAAACTAACCTACCAAATCATACCAAATCATACATAAAACCTAAAATAACTAGCATATAGTAAAAGCAGGAATGATGTGATACATACACAGTCTGTAGAAAGTAGAAATAATGTATGTACAGTATAGTTTCTCTTGCCTAAAGTAGGAAGACAGCAAACACATTGGAAAGCTGACAGGTGTGATGAAGTGTTAGGTTAAGTCTTTGTAGGTTGGGATGGTGGGAAGGCAAAGAGACGAGGGTGCAGGAAGGAGAGGAAGCTGGTCAGATATAAACATCTCATCTTTGTCTGAATCCATCAGGGTAAGCAGTAGCTGACACCTACCCCTTCTTTTCTAGCTGCCCCCCTCAATGTTGCAGGTCAGATTTGTCATCTGCTATTATTAGTATAAAATATGACAGTATGTTTGACTGCTTATCCTCACACATCTTTATACCATACAGTTCTTTATAGGCACTCAAAACATCCTACAAACCTGCCTGAAACCTACATGCCTTTTCAAAACCAAAGTCGTACTTTTCTGCAGTCATTGCACACTGTCTATTGTAGTGAAAATCTCATGCAAGGGCTTCAGGCTCAGTTCCTGGATAACTTCACTTTCAGACGGTTGACTATTAAGTTCAGTTTTGATTCATATCCTTTCCCCTTGCAATTGCATCATCTCTTTATCCATCAGTTCTTGGTCATGGGATGCTAAGGCCTCTTCAGCATCATCTTCATCAACTTCCACTTGATACTGAAAATGCTTACTATAGTTCCAGTGGGAAGGAGCTTATCGGGGCCACTCTCACTGCTGAGTGCTGTCTCTATAGCAGCTACTGCAAAACAAATGCTGAAGTCATGTTTGCATTTTGCCTTTTGTTATGAAAGCTAATAATCCTTTTTGGATTACTTGTGGATACTGCAAACAGGTACAGACTAAAAAGGTTTTTCATAAAAGTGAAGTGGCAAAACGCAAACCTGTGAAAAGCAGGAATATCTGTACATCTCTTTCCATCTACTTATTTAAACCTGGGTCTTTACATATTAAAGTGCATCTGTTCTAGACAGTATACAGTTGGACCTTGATTCTTTTCATTCTTACAATATCTGCCTTATAGAGTACAAGCATATTACTAAATAATGTAATTATTGATGTAGTCAGATATATGTTTATCATTTTGTCATTTATTCACTATGTATCACATGTTTTCTGCTCATTTGTTCTTTTTAGATTTGAATGCTTTTTTAAATTCTGTTTTATTTCTTTTTTAATTATAACTTTGCATTTTTAGTGGTTGGTCTAGATTATAATATGCATTTCTTAACTTTTCATAGTCTATCTGGAATTAGAACTATACCGTTGTACATAATATGTGAAACAAAATAGATCCATTTACTCCCTTCTAACTTAAAACTGTAATTGTTATATGTATTAATTTACATATACTTATAAAACCCACGAGGCAATGATTTTTACCTGAAATAATCACATTTATTCTTTTAAAATTAAATGAAAAGCTATATATTTTTTATTTAACATTTTTGGTGGATTGTTTTCCTTCTGCACCTTCAAAGTTTCTGTGTGATGTCATTCACTTCAACCAGAAAAACTTCCTTTAGTATTTCTTACAGTACAGGTCTGCTGGAAATCAGTTCTTTTACTCATTTTTTCATCTTTAAGATATCTTTATTTTGCTTTTATCATTGTAGGGGATACAATGATATAGAATTCTGGGTTGACAAGGAATTTTTTCATTCTTTTTCTCAGCCTTTTATAGATTCTGTATTCTGGCCTCCATAATTTCTGGTGAAAATGAACAATAATTTGAATTGTTTTCTCTCTGTATCAGATATGTCATTTAACTCTGGTTACCTTTAAGGTTTTTCTATTGATCTTTGTTTTTCAGAACTTTGATTGCTTGCTACACAAACATAATTTTCTTAATAATTAACCTATTTGGGATTTGGCATGCTTCTTATACCTGTAATTTTTATCTTTCAGCAAATTGGGAAAGTTTCAGCCACTATGTCTTCAAATATTTTTTCTGCCCCTTTCTCTCTCCCATTTCCCTCTCAGATTCTAACTCCATGCATGTTAGGCCTTTTGATATTGTCCCCCAGGTGTTTGAGTGGCCTTCTTGTTCTTCACTGGTGTTTTTTCTCTTTACATTAGATTATATTAGTTTACCTTCATGTTCACTAACTCTTTCTTGTCATCTCCATTCTGCTCCAAGTGATTATTAAATTTTGAGTTTGTAATACTTAATACCAGCACTTCCATTTGATCCTTTTAAATTACTTTTTCCAGAGAGTTCCTATTTTTTCATTCATAGAGAGAATATTTTCCTTTATATAACTGAGCACAGATACAATATCTGTTTTAACAATTTTGTCTGCTATTTGTCCATCTAGTGGTTATGTAATAGGTCTCTTCCTATTCTTTGAGAACGGATCACAGTTTCTCGATTCTTCATATGTCAAGTCAAGATTTGGGCAAAACTTGCTCGCAAAATTTAGGGCTCCTTCTTTTTGACTTTCTCTTTCTTTGGAATATTTCTTCACTTTTCAAATGCTGTGGTTGTTTAGAACCCTGTACTATTATGCTTCAGGCCAGAAAGGACTAACCTTCAGGTTTTCTATTACAGTTTAACCCACCCCATGTACCTTCCTTCCATTCCTGGTATAGTCTTCCCTCGAAGCAAAAGCTGTAAAAAATAGGAAACCACAATATACCATTCCTTTTTTTATAGGTATCAATTTCCCTCCAGAATCTTCCTGATTTTGTTTACCCTCCAATGTCTCTGGTTATTTCTTGCATATTGTCCAGAGTCTATAGTTGTAATGTGTAAAAGAGTGAGTGTAAAACACTCACTCAGGTATTTGTGAAACACCTTAAGTATGTCTGAACCTAAAAAGCTATGGGCTTGGAGCTTGGGAAAATACAGAAGAGAATGGGTATTTATGTTCTTTCCAGCATCATAAATTTTAACTTTTACTATTCTGTATCAAAACTCATCCTTCAAGGTATAAAAAGTTTCACAAAACCTCACAATTTAGGATAACTTAGAAAAGTCCAATAAAGGTATGAGACATGGGTTTATTTCAACAAAATACTACATATATCTGAAGCAATAAATACCAACTTCAAACTATATTAACAAAGAACTGTCCAGAAGGAGATGAATAAGTGTCTCAGGAAAAACAATTTTAGTAAAGGAATAAGTAGCATTTGCTATAATATCACAGAATTTTAATGTGGAAAGGACTATATAAATCATCTTGGCCAAGCTCCTCATGTCTGTATATAAATTAATAACACATTGATTCTTTAAATAAACTTTCATTAAATACCTGTGGGTTATATGCCAGATACAGCACCACTTCTAAGATGCACAGATGCTCAAAAAATTTGTTCTCTTGTTATATTAGATGCTGTCCCTCAATCTTATTTGCGTTGTTAAAAATTTGAATAATGGGCTCAATAAGGAACGTATTTATTTCTAACACTATTCAAATGATTGTAAATTCATTGTCAAAGGACTCAAAATTTATAAAATTTTCATAGATTTATTTTTCTCTCATTGAAAATAATATAAAATGCCATTTTGGGGCCAGGATTGGGTGCTTTGGGTGCTATGATTGTTTGACATGTGTTTAATGCCATCCCAACATCTACACCTTCCTTCCATAGTCAGATGCCAGTAAAAAAAATAAATAAACTTGCCAAGAAGCATGCGATATTTCTTTCATTTATTATTCATTCATGGATGGAATAAAGACAAATGGTATTCAAATCATGGTATTTGATTCTTTGACTGGAACCTTGTTGACTTCTAAGCCAATCAGAAACAATAAGAGATAATCACTATTATATGAATTTCATTTACTTTTAACAAATGGCAATAGTCATTTTTAGTGAAGTACAGAGAGTAAGTGTTAGCAAAGTTCAGGGAAACAATATCATATCTAAATGATTCTGAACATTTCTTCAGATTAGGAAGTATAGATATCTTCTACAATATCTCTAAGAAGTTGTTGTTCAATAATTATTTATACCATGAATAAACTATGATTCTGATATCAAGAGTTAGATAACAGGAAATATGCTAATATTATAGCAGAAAGAGGATTTCTAATGATAAATTGAAACATTTTCAGAACATATATTTTCAGCATCAGTTTTTATTTTGATCACATTATTCTACCATCATAATAAAGATCTGCAAAATTACTTCTTTTTAAATCACTGTTTCTTTTATAAAACCCTGTTACATAATTTGATCGTGGTAGGCAACCAAAGGCAGTGTAATTTTACTTGCCAACAGTGAGGCAAGCTTTCATAATAACAATTAATCAGAAATGAAAGGAATCCGAAAATGTCTGTATCACTTGTCAGCAGTGTTTCTATCTTTGGTATGATGTAGCAAGATTAAATCCTTTTATTCTAAAATAATGAGAGGAATAATCACAAAGCAAACAAGTCTCTATAAATATGGAGGAAATTTGGGCACATTGTTAGAAGTTAGTAATGAAGGAAGAGTTTTGATTTAGTAGCATGGAGAAAAGAAATGATATAAAAGTTAATTTCCAATTCTTAAATGTTAACAAAGCAAAAGAAGGGGAAATTAAGATGTTTTGTTTTCCAGTTAAAGTAGATTTGAAACTTAATATGCTTTCAGATTTAAAATTTACATTGAACAGTTCAATTATCCTATATGACACATGGGATGATTGTTTTTTCAGAAATAAAATATCCAGCATATTTTCAAATATTTCCTTTTATATTCTGAATTGCTGAAATCAATCTATAACTATTTTAGTTACTTTTTAAAGCTTTTTAATAAGTTGTTCTTACTAAAAGAAAATTTACATTGTGATCACTTATATTTATGAAACTGGTAATGCAATTAATGGTTAATATGCCAAACTTCTAAATAGAGAAATATAAGGTATAGTGTTCTTCTTTCTGTATCAAATCAAAGGAACACATGATCTGTCTCATCCATTAGTAAAATCTAGTGGTGATTTTTCAGGCCATGGCCAAGAGATTAGATCTATATGACTACATTTTTGTTAGAGATCACTACAGTTTGTTCATTTAGCAGGAAACCCGTCATCTTTGAAACAAGCCTATTCATCAACGACTCTCAAATTCAAGGCCTGCACTGCACCTGCTCTGAGTGACCACGTATTCACACTGAAACCTTTGCTCATACATTTATATGGGGCTGAGCAACATTAGCACTAGAAGACTGAGAAAAAAATATATCCTACTTACCCTGCTCACTCATCTCCTTTGATTGACTCACCTGAGTTCTCTAACCCCAGGGGCATATATACCAGCTTAGCAAAATATTTTGCTCTTAATGACAGGAGGAAACCCTTCAGCGGGCACGTGAGGAGGAAGAGAAGAGGAAGGAGATCACAAGTCATTTCCAGAACACCCTGACAGATATCCAGGCCCAGATTGAGCAGCAGAGTGAGCGCAACATGAAGCTGTGTCAGGAGAACACAGAACTCGCAGAGAAACTGAAGAGCATCATCGATCAGTACGAGCTCAGGGAGGAGGTAAGAATCACATCAAACAACTCAGAAGTAGGGTCTGAGAGACCCAGGTCTGGGTGGCAAAGGTGGGAAACTTGCTTAATAGGAAAGTTATGATCAGCCCTCTCCATTGATTAATATTTAGTTTGGATTTCTTTTAACTTGCCAAACAGAAACAGATGGGATTGCAAAATACCTGGCTGAAAGTCATACGGGATTTCTTCAGAACTAGAATCACTACAAAGCAAAGGCAGGACACAGAAAGTCACAGGTTCCAAGGAGTTATCCTTGAAAATAGCCTTTCTAAGCTTTTTAAAAACCCTGTCTTAATAGCCAGAAAATATCTCACACACTTCCTCTTACGACTCACCCTGTCATCTTAATTAGGGTCTATATTTTATATACACTGCAAGGCAATATTAATAGCAATTGATAGTGTTATGATATTAATGGAATGATTTATTCAGTGCTTGGTTTGTAGAATGTGCTAAGTACTGTACTTTTACATAGTATGTCATTTAATTGTCTCAGCGATCTTATGCACTTGATAATAATATTATTCCCACTATGTAGGTGGAAAGTAGGGGAAATGACATTAAATCACTTACCCACAATCGCAAAAGTCAATGGAGTTTTGCTTCCAATTGTTTAAACGAGGTGAACTATAAAGGTCTTTGATTTTTTTCCAAAATTATATTTTCATATTTAATATGTTTTTAAGACTCCAGATGCCCTCTCAATCTCTACCTTCAAATGTAACCAAACACAGTCAAAGTAGTTCTGTTGATAAGATTTGATCAAGAGGAGATTTGATCAGGAAAAAGGCTGAGCCAGTCGTACATGGTTGCAGCTGCTAGGTGAATTGAGAAATGCCTCACATGAGCCAGAATGGCAGGCTACCACTGTATCTTGTCACAAAGAAAAATCCTGTTCCTATGTGGAGCTTCAAGCTAAAAGGGAAAGAGCAAAAAAGAAAATGTCCATATTCTCCAGAGAGATCTCAGGTAGTAATGGTCTCATACACTAATTTTATATTCTTAGGATAAGCCTTCAGGATAGAGTTCACCACACCATCTTGCCCAGGGTCCTCCCGGTGAACAAGAAACTCTCCATACTGAGGCACTAAGAGTAGAGAGATCCAAAGACACGGTGGAGGCAGTCAAACATTTGCATATTGATTTATCTATGACCCTTGGCCTTGACCTGCCCACCTGAGCAACAGAAATGAAGTCAGGGGGCTCCTGCCTCGGTCCTAGATTCAGATCACAGGGGTACCCAAGTGCTTCCTCACAACCCTTGAGGCAAGAAGGGAGGGGCTTTCCTCATGAGCAACTGCCTTAATGTTGTGATTAAAAGTGGTTTTATATTTATAGAAAGACCTAAAATACCGAGTGGTAGTACTGTAGCCCTTGCAATATACATCACTGCCTGTCCTGTCTTGCATATAAGTACCATCAGGTTTAATAGTTACCAAATTTAGAAAAATAACTTTGGGACCTTTGATAAGGACATTGCTGAACACTGGCCTCTTCACCTTTTCCAGCTATGTTTGTCTTGTATAAAATGCAACAACTTTAGGAATTTACAGTTTTTACATATTTTTAAATGAAATAATATAAAATAATTATTTTATATAAATATTATTACATGTTAAAAATTGTACACATTTTATATAAGGGAAGCCAATGGATTTATTCCCTGCTTTTTTAACATCTTAAAACCCAGAGAATGTGTTTATGTGAATATTACCTTTTTATTTTCCATTTTTAGCACCAGTACTATATCAAACTTGATGTCTGTACTTTATTTTCCCTTAGCATCTGGACAAAATATTTAAGCACAGAGAACTGCAGCAGAAGCTGGTGGATGCAAAACTTGAGGAGGCGCAAGAAATGATGAAAGAAGCTGAGGAACGACACGCACGCGAAAAGGAATATGTACTTATCCTTTGAGTTGGTGTGCTTTCTGTCTGCCACGGGGTCAGAGAGCCCTGGGAACATTGTTTTGATTAAGGTCACAGAGCATTAGACTGGTAAAGAGAGATCCTGAGCTTCCCTGGAAAACTAAATTGGCCAACCCAGTAGGAGGCACTGTACCCACCCATTGTTTACAGAGCCTACTTATTCATCAACAAACCTTTCTAAGTGCCTGTCACATGCTGCATGTGATCCCAGGTGCTGGGAACAGCAGTGAACAAGACCAGGAAGGCCATGTGGCAGCACGGAGGCCCAACTGGGAGGAGACAGGCTATAAACAAGCAAACAAGTTGAGAAAGGATAACTTTGGTTAATATAAAGTACTACCAGGGAAATGAGCAAGGAAGGGAGAGAGGGAGGGGAGCTTCTTTACCCTGGATGCTGGGGCCCAGCCCGCCTCATAAGAAGGAGGCAGGGAGGAGGTCTGCAGCAGTGACAGAGGTCCTGATGCTGGGACTGGCCTACTGTCTTCCAAAAATAGGAGAGGGGCCTCCCCAGTGGCGCAGCGGGTTGAGCGACGCGCTGTGAAGCTCTCCACAGCCTCTGTAGTGAGGGTTCGATCCCCGCTGGCTGGCGAGAATCCCACATGGTGTGGCAGACCTCTCCTGTCACGCCCACTGCTCCCCTCAGCAGTATATTTCTTCAGTCATCCTGCTCTGTTTCTGGTGAATTCTCTCACCCTCCTGTGCTTCTGGCCTGTAGCCCAGCTCTTGTATAAAAATAAATAAATCTTTGAAAAAAAATAGGAGAAAGCTAGGGAAGCATGAGGATATTGACCCAGTGGGAGAAGGGTTCAAACTGAAGTTGGGGAGGTAAGGAAGGCTCAAATTGCGTGACTTTGTAGGCTTATGATCAATCTGTTAAATCAACCTACCTGTGCTTCCTACCTCATGTTCTTGAAGAGGGCAGTGCCTTCCAGTGTGCTCCCTGGAAATTCCAGTCCATGCCACCCTGGAGAATAGTGGTCTGGTACAAAAAGCTTTGGGTCTAATAGTAAGGCACTGCAGTGACAACAGGTGGGATGCCTGGAGATGTTCAAAGACTTGCTTTGTCCTCAGAGGCCAAATGATGTTTGGGCAGGATTGCCAGAAGCTTCTAGAAGTTGGTCCATTAGGACCAACTTTTAGACTACTTCTCTTGGCTTTCTTAGATTCTTTACACAGTTTCCAAACATTACTTAAGTTAATTAGCAAGTTATTAAGTTGTATACACATTACAATCAAATCTTAAATATCTTTTAAACAATTTGTTGCTACACAATCTTCACATATTAGTCAACTTTCTAAAATCTTCCTTTTTTGTCAACTTGTACATTGTATTTTCCAATATTGTCAGATGAATTTTTTTTAGTTCTTTCTTTCCAATAGATTGTTTTCTGCCAATACAGTCTAAACTGGAGTGGTTGGGAATAGTGGTAGAATTCTAATTTATAAAACATCGCATATATGCAAGCCACATGTAATGGTCAGGTTTGCTTTTGTTTTTAGCATTTAGTCTTTTGAAATAAAACTCAAGAGATAAAATTAATTAAAAAAAAAAGACAATTTGACTGTCTTTCCATGCATTCTCTCTTCTCACAGCTGCTGAGCCAGGCAGCAGAATGGAAACTACAGGCCCAGGTGCTAAAGGAACAAGAGACAATCCTGCAGACTCAGGTGCAGTAGGGGAGGGTGGGGGCAGCAATGCATGGGGTTGCTGTCCTCACTGTTTCCAAGGAAAGAGACTGTGAACCAAAGTAGTTTGCTTAGGGTCTTCCATGAGGGTAAGGGGAACAGGTGTAAGGGGCAGGAAGACAGAGCAGATTTTCTGATCCAGCAGATGGGGTAAAGGAGGGAGAGAGTCCTGGAGCCCTCGGTGGCTTTTGCAGGCATTTATTGGGATTCACCAGGTACACTGGGCAGGGTTACCGGGCAGCTGGGAGGCCTGCCAGCCCCAGCAAGTCTTCACTGTCTGGGCTCTCCAGCGTTCTCTGGCGGTCTCTGCTTCTCTCGTGGTTCTGCTCTCTTCTCTCCCATTCATTCTGCTTCTCTCTGCTTCTGCTTCTCTCTGCCTCTGCTGGCGTCTCCGTAACGCTGCCCTTAAAAAGCCCAGTCTTAGCCCAGGTGAATCCCATCTACATATGCCCACACCCTGCTGCAGGTGCCCGCCATCAGGCGTGCATTCAGGACAGCAGGGTTCCTAATGGTGGGAGGGCAGAAAAGCCTGATACTTTTACCTTACCCTACAACAGGGCAGGAAATGAAAGAATAAATTCCATTATTTTCATGTGAAAAATAAGCACAGTGTTATATCTAAGAAAAAGAATTGCTCTGTGCAAGAAGGGACAGAGCAGGATCTCTATGACCCAAGCAGAGGGGTGAAGGAGGCGTCCTGGAGCCCTCGTACCGGGTACATGGCAGGCAGAGGTGGGGGGAGGGGGGCGCGGGAGGCTGGCAGGCCACCCAGTCCCCGGCCAGTCTTCACTCTTCCTGGGCTCTTCGGCCTTCTCTGATGGCCTTGCTTCGCTCTTCCCATTCTCTTTTGCTCTGCTGGCCTGGTTCTGCTCTCTCTGCTGTCTTTTCCTGGCATCCCCATAACACCACCCTTATAAACCCAGTCTCAGCCCAGGTGTATCCCATCTACATATGCCCATGCCCTGCTTCAGGTACCCACCATCAGGCATGCATTCAGGCAGAAAAACTGATACTTTTTACCTTACCCTACACTCTGCATCAACAACATCCAGTCAAAGGTTTGTTGACATGCAAATGGTGACACCAGATGGTCAACCTGAGTAAGCTGGTGCCCAGGTCCCTTCCTCTCAGTGCACATGTCCTCCTTCTCAAAGTCAAAGCAAAGCTAAACTGTTTAGACGCATTGTCTGAAACTGTAAATACTAAAAATGTCCTTTGTTGCTTGATTTATTTATAATAAAAGGAAATTAGAAAATAGTGTCAGCCCCCAAGTGTTTATGTTCTCAAAGGATGACAAGTAACTTAAAATAGTGGACAAGTTGGGAACTATTTTGATTTGGCTTCAGAATGTCACGTGTGTTCTGATTAGACTACAGAAATTCACATTTCAAGCTCGAAAAGAAAGCCTCATGCAATGAGATGTCAGACCTAGACATCTTTCCCAGGCCCCCACGGCCTCTGCTCCCTCCACAAGCATTCTGTGAGTTGCGGGAGAGCCACCTTGCCCTGGGCTGCAGATGGGGTCTAGCTCCCCTCCCCAAATAAGGCCCCAGCACTAAGGAACTGGGAGTCACATCAAGCAAATTCAGAGCAGGTGAAGAAACCAGAAAGCTTCCAAGCTGGGCAGCATTAACTTAAGATGTGGGTAATTTCCTTGTAAATGTTCATGCACTGACTGCTGAATACTTAAAAAAAAAAAACTTGTTCAATGTATGAATGGAAACATTCAGTGAATATTTGTTCATTGTAAAAAAATTGAAGAGAAAAATAAGAAACTTAAAATCATAAATTATACTACTGCATAGACAAAAATACACATAACACTGATATTTAGGCTTTCTAAAGCATACTGTTTGGATCTGGGTACTGATTGCAGTGATGGATTATTTCCCCCCAGTGATACATTAAATGTTTTAAAATATGAACAACATAGAAGTTGAAACCATAATGTTTTTGACTATTCATAGAACCAAAGGACCCAGAGTGACAACTCTAAATTTTATAGTTATAGATTCAAGGTCATTCTTTAGGCAATCACAGAACCCATCATAGCATGGGATAGGTGGCTTTTCTAGCAAAGGCAGAGGTGGAAGGAAAGAGGCATGGCCTCCTAACTGGGGGTGTCCAGAGAATCAAGCCAGGGATTCTGGTTTCTGTCCGATTTACAAAGCAGAATCTTGAGGGGTACAATAGACAATACTTGAAGCTATTCATTGTTCACATCATCCATTACAATCAGTCTCTACCCCTCTATGATAAAGATCATGAACTTGGGAATAGATTAATATCATTAGTAATCCATTCAGTCAGCATCAGAAAGCCTTTAATGGCCTGTGTAATAGAAACACACAGGTGTGAGCGATGTTCCCACCCCTAGGCCCTCAAACTGGAAAAAGCAACTACCAGGGTTTCTAGATTTGCTAACATTCCTCCTTTATCCCTCAATATTAGAATCTGCCCAGGTGTCAGGGTCAGAGTTCTGGCTCTTCTGCTGAGAAGCCGCCTGGCCCTGTGCAGTTCACCTTCGCCTCCCTCGGCCTAAATTTCCTTGCTAATAAAATAAGAATTCTGTGATGGAGCAATGATCCCAAGCTGAAGTTCTCCAACCTTGACAAGCCCATTTCCTTCCAGCATTTCCAGATCATAGCAGCATACAAGGCAGGAGTTACAATCTAAATGTAGGGGGACTTTGACATACCAGTTCTCACTCAGCAACTATGGATGGTAATTATTCCTGTTTAATTTTTAAAAGGAAAATGAATATGTAATAAATGCAGTTTGTTTTCAAATTAGGTATGCAACGCACTTAGCTCAGTGCCTGGTCCATAATAACCATAATTAATTCAACCAATATTTATGGAGTCTCCACTCAGTGCTAAGCATGATTCTGAGTGTTGAAGATATAGTAATTAGTAAAAGACACAAAAATTCCTGCCTAATTGAACTCACAGTCTAGTGACAACAATAATGTTAATAAAAATGCTTACAATTAATTAGCATATGAACTAATATGAATTTATATGGCCCCCAACTTATGATGGTTCAATTAACTATTTTCAACTATGCAATGGTGCAAAAGAGGTGTGCATTCAGTAGAAATTGCACAGAGAAATTTGAATTTTGATATTTTCCTGGGCTAAAGCTATGTAGAGTGATCTCTGATGATGCTGGCAGTGGTTGCGAGCCACAGCTCGAGTCAGCCTTGAAATCATGAAGGGAAACAGCCTTCTGGACTTTAGCCTCATCAAAAGAGAGAGAAACCAGTGATGCACCCCCCAGCGATTAATCTCAGTTCAATTCTTCCAACATTCCTCAGGCTTGGTGTGCTTACCACTGTTACATTAATGATGAGAACTCATAAAACATTCTGGTTTTCACTTTCAGCACAACATTCAATAAATTACATGAGATAGCCAACACTTTATTATAAAATAGGTTCTGTGTTAGGGAATTTTGCCCAGTTGTAGAATATGTAAGTTTTATGAGCCTGTTTGAAGGTGGGCTAGGCAAAGCTGTGTGTTTGATAGGTTAGGTGTATTAAATGTATTTTCAGCTTAAGGTGGGTTTATCAGAATATAACCTTATCGTTAGTCAAGGAAGTTCCATATTATTTCATAGGTAATGACTGATATCACAAAATATAAGATACAGGGAGTCATACACACACACATAGTCTATAGTCTTAAATATATATAGTCTTCTGTATAATTATAGAAGAATTTAAGGACCACTATAAAAGATGATCTTGAGATCCTGTTCAGCTCTAGTTCATGAATGCAGAGAACTCCCAGAGCTACAGAAGGATGGCCCTGAGCTGAATTAATACTGCCTTCTCCATTGCCCTGCTGTCACATGAGGCTTTCTCTGCAACGACCCTCCTTGGTCTATCTTTGTTGTCTTCAAGGTGCTTTCAAAATCTAATAATCAGTCACTCAGAATAATAGAAACACCTCAAATCCCCATATATAATAATGTTTAAACAAGTTCCTCTTGGAAAGTATCAACATTATAATTTTTTTAAATTTTAAACTTTGAAAACTAGCCTATCACAAATTATTTTGTATACCATGGAAACATTTCCTTTGGTTTTACAATGTCTTTAAAGTTATGGGAGGAGAGGAAGATGCTAGTCCCCATTTCTTGTTCTCAGCAAGGGAAATGTCAAGGGCAGGTTATGTTTCCCTAGATCGAAGTCACTTTTTAGTAATAAAACAACAGCTTGCCGGTTTGGGGCTTGATTCCCACGTAGGAGAGAGATGCCTGACTTTCAATTATACAAACCAAGGCAACAGAGTAAACGTCAGAGATGATCAATGGGATACAATTGTCACTACAAATAGAGTGTTCATTGGATCAATAAGGATGAAGATGATAGAAGACATGGAAAGTCAGCAATTTCTGACAATGCAGACATAAAATGCTGCCCAAGGGGAAATATCAGTGAGTAAATTGTTAACGATGGGTAATCATAGTCTTTAAATGTAGATGTCCTCACCTTATTTATACAGGATGAGAGGCGATTCCTCTGCAACCACTATTATAATTGAATTTGTTCCCCAACCAAACCTCACAAGTTTGCTCGGATAATTCCGGACACATTTCTGTTTCCTATATGCTGAGTGTTGGCAATTAAATTTTAGTGCTCAGTCAAAAGAATGTGTGTGTTGATCAATCCTTTTAAAAGTGACATGTTGGGGCAATTATTGTTATTACTAAACCTAGAATGGTTTGTTTCTATTTCTGCCCCTGGCAGGAGAGGTACTGTGGACGACCCCTGGGTCCCTTCCTGCTCCAGAAGGAGAGAGGAACTATGACACCTGAGTCAGCCGTGCCTCATGCCAGCATAATAGTGTGAGAGAAAACAGTAGTCACTGGCCTAGGTTGATTTCATAGTAAATAAAGCAGTGAATATTATTAACATTGTATTGAGAATTCCCTTAAATCATTTTTCGTCTCAAATGATGAACAATGACATGATGCTTTGTTCCAGAAGCTTTCTAAAAGTTTCCCTGTTTACAGCTTACTCTCTACTCTGGGAGGTTTGAAGAATTCCAGGGCACCCTGACAAAAAGCAATGAGGTGTTTGCCACTTTCAAACAGGAAATGGATAAAGTGAGTATGAAATATTGACATTTTCTACTTTGATAGACAATTCTCTTTTGGGTTCATTTTTCTCTAAGATATTTCAGTACACTTCATGAAGTAATGAAACATTATAGGTGCAAATGAGATTTGGGCTGTATTTTTTTATTGGTAAGTATCTGTTAGATTATTCTTAGGAAGAGTCCAAAAGCACTAGGATACATTCTTATTCTGAGGAAAAATACTTTCTTCTTTCTAGTGTGTGGATAACTCTTTCTAAACAAACCAAAAAATTTAACATCATGTTTATACTAAAATCAAAAAATATCTAATCTAGATAACTTTATGCAAATAAGCAAAAGTAGAATGTCAGAGTAGAAAATACCATTTTACAGGTTCCTTAGAAGGAAAGATATGTGGCATGATGTACAGTCAACCCCTGACTAGCTCGGATGTTAAAGCTGCCTGCCCTCCTATATACAGGGTTGAAAATCCAAATACAATTTATGGTCAACCCTCCTTATATGTGGGCTCTGCATTCTGGGATTCAGGGAACTGATATAAAGGTTGGTAGAACCCATGAACATAGACGCCTCCAATGGGAATGGAAAAAGCAGAAGCAAAACAGAGTGCCTAAAGGTGACTCCTCCTTTCTGACCTCAGTACCCCCATTGATAAAGTAGAGGTGAAAACGGAACCTTTCTTGCAGGACTGTTTCAAGGATGAAATGAATAACATATGTGATCACATTTCATGAACCCTACTGCACTCTACAAATGTGAAGACCAAGAAAACAGAAACTGCCTTTGTGTGATTTCTTCTCAGATGTGCCCAGAGTATCAACATTTTAATGGCTAAAAAGACTGGCCAGTTTTCTCACTGTTAGCCTTCTATCAATAAAGTAAATAATCTAAATTGCACACTATCTTCTTGGGAGGCAATAAAGTTCATTTTCATGCTAAATGAAGGAAAAAGCAACGACAAAGCAACATGGCAATGAGTAGTTTCCTTTTTCCTGCATAGCTCTGCTGTAGATCAGCCTGTTCACCACTGACCTAGATGATTCAGAAATAAATCTTGAGTCTCCCCACTCAGTCTTTTTCCTTGACATCGAACTTTTGTTTGTTTTCAGCAACTGGTAACACAAGACTTTTCTTGATGTCACAAATGAAACTAATAGTTTCTTAGATATAGTAACTCTTCAGGAATAACATTAGAACACTCTGATTTCTGTAGACAACTAAAAAAATGAAGAAGCTGGAGAAGGACACGGCCATGTGGAAAGCCCGATTTGAGAACTGCAACAAAGCTCTGCTGGACATGATTGAGGAGGTAAGAAAGCCTGTCTCTTAGCTTCCTTTCCCCTGTCTAGCCAAGGCAGTCATATTTAGGAAATAATGTTAACTTAAAAGCACAAACGATTACCTTTGAGAAAGAACTGAATTTTTCTGGGAAGTGATAGATGAAATTGTAATAAAAACATAATTAAGGAAAAAGTCATTTACAATCAAGTGCAGGCTCATAAAGAACTTTGTTTCCCTATGTCCCATGCCTATTTGTTGATTCCAAAGCTGTCCCCAAAGCAGCTCCATGCCTGCTGGACTGTGAATTCCTTAAGGGAAGGACAAGGGTCTGACTTGCACATCACAGTTATAAGATAAATTAAGTAGTTGATTTGCACCTCCTGAGAAAAGACACCAGGACACCAAGACACCAACCTCCTAGGATATGTTCTATCTTACAGATGTGAGAGACAGCATTTAATTCCTCCCAGAGGCATTTAAATACAGATATTATGTCAGACTCTGACCAGATTTTGAGAGTATGAAGAAAAAGACACATGAGCCTTGATATGGGAGGCAGAGCTGACAGGTGAAATTCTCTCCACATAAACAAATGGGAAAAAGTCTTAAAGGGCATGACATAGCACAGAGGGGGACAGGAAGTGAAGGAAGAAGACAAATAGGAATGTTTTCACGCTCAAACACATTGCCATTTCTTGAGGGGGAAAAAAGGAGAATTGAGCATTGTGAGCAGCCAGCATCATGAATTAGTGCACGGTGAGTTTCTCTGCTTATAATTACTGTTCTAATAATTCATCCCAAATTGCAACATATTCCAAAGAGATGTGCTTATTATTCATCAACATAGATCAAATGGTTGCTGGATCAGCATCTGGCAGTTAATCTACAAAATATAAGGCATTACTGACAGCCAAGTCCCAGGCCGTCTCATTCATTTTGCCACAAGCTTTTGCTTATGCCTTCTAAATCTTGGAAGCAGAAAATTCATCTACTTTAACATTTTAAAGGCCCTGGACTGAAGCAGAGGGAAGCTTTGCCATTTTTCATTCCTAAATTCTACCAGAATGATTAAAATTCTAACCAGAGTAAAGAACACAATGAAAAAAAGCAGTGTTGTCCATGACACGTGAGTCACCCCTCTGTGGCCAGGCCCACAGCCTGGTAGATGAATTCCTGAACAAATGGTTCTGTTTGTCTCCTGAGAGCATGCTGGCAATTTTGCTTCTCATGTTGTGTTATCTGTGTGTTTGTGTGTTTTCAAATCACAGAAAGCATTGAGAGCTAAAGAATACGAGTGCTTCGTCATGAAAATTGGGAGGTTAGAGAACCTCTGCCGAGCTTTACAACAAGAGAGAAATGAACTCTACAAAAAAATTAGAGAAGCAAAATTGCCCGAACAGGACGACCAAAGTCAGCCTACCTCCGAGGAAGAGGCAGAGTCGACAGTTCCCGTGGGTGAAGAGGTTGATATGAAGGAAGCCAGCAGTGTCCACAATGCTGTAAAAAGTCTAGCCACAGCCTTCATGGTGATTCAGTCTCCAGAGCCTACCCCAGGCCAGTCCAAAGGACTCCAGCTGGAACTCAGCAGTCCTTCAAGGGGTGGTGACTCTGCCATCAGGGAGCAGGAACAACCCCCTGTGAGCCCTTCATGCCATTCAGAGGACCCCCTCTCCCCCCCAACTTCTCAGGCTGAGGCTCAAGGAGGCAATGAGGCCACTAGGCCCCCAGAGGAGTCCCAAGGAGAAATCCATGGAGCACAGGGTGATCAGCAGACCCAAAAGCCAGGGGCAGAAGCTTCCAGTCAAACCCCACAGTCCCCAGCCAAGGCCCCCCAACAGGTGATGGAGGCCAATGGTTCTGTTCTACTACCCCTGGCAGGAGAGCAGATTCCAGGTGGGGTACCTAGATGTGAGCCCCATAGGCAAGCCCCAGCAGCAGCAGAGGGGCCACCAACAGCATCCTCAACTCTGCCCCAACTGCCCAAAGTGGTCGACACCCATCTGGAAGTAGACTAAGCCTCAGCCTACCTTGGGAGGCTGCCCTTCCTGAAGTTGCTTCTTCGTCACAACAGATGGTCCTCTGAAAGAGGCATTTAGGGCTAGGAATGTCTAATGGAAGAGACTAAATTAGAATCAAGACATTTTAAATGTTATGCAGAGCACATTCAGCCTTTGCTATTTATTCTCAATTTATAGCTGATTTGGAGCTTTTCTCATTAACACCGGTTGATAGTATAATTTTCCCAAATGGCAACAAAACATGGATAGCAAATTTATATTAATTTGCCATTAAGATAGTACTTAATTCATTTTCTTGCTGAACACTAAGATTTACTGTTTGAAGACTTCCACTACAATACATAAATACTGAAAACATGATGTCCTATTTATTTCCCTATATAGTTTAATAAGTTTCATAGTAAGTAATGAATGTCCAGATTCCACTGAAGTCTTACATACACTATATATTCATATATGTGTATATGTGTATGTATGCAGTAGTCACTCCTTATCTGCTGTTTCACTTTCCAGAGTTTTAGTTAATCCACTTCAAATACTGTCTGAAAATTTGATGTACAATAAGATAGTTTGAGAGACCACATTCACAAACTTTCATTACACTATATTGTTATAATTCCTCTGCTATTATTGTCAATATTTTATTGTACCTGATTTATAATTAAACTTTATCATAGGTACATACATATGTATAAAAAAAATCATAATATATAAAAAGTTTGGTACTCTCTGGTTTCAGGCACCCAGTGGAGGTCTGAGAAATATCCCCCTGTGGAAAAGGGAGAACTGTGTATGTATATGTGCATATGGGTATATGTGCTTATGTGTGGGTATACACACATACATGTGAATATATACATATAAGTGGTTAAGCACATGTTAATACTATATGACTACGTGTCATATACCATCCTGGGCCAGGGAGAAATAGATAGGGTTCTGTGGCTTCAAGAGGAGGAAGACAATTTACAGGAAGATAGGAAGAGCAAATGTTTGATTAGCAAATGTTTGCCTTGCCTTGCCGAGACAAAGGGACACAGAAAGGACTTTGAACAAACAGACCTTGTTAAGTTACTCCCCCCCCCCACCCCCTATCTACCACATCGAGCTCATATTATTTGTGATTGCCTACCACATCGAGCTCATATTATTTGTGATTTCTCTCTTCCTGCTACAGGGATCCAAATCATTTTAGACAGTTAAGGAAGAGGTGGAGAAAAGCTTTCCTGAGTCTGCAGGTCCTAATTGCCTTCAGCTCAAAGCAATCTACATGCCAAAGTGGTATAGTTTGGGTGGCCTACTCTCTCCCACACCACTTTAGGTTTCTCTTTATGCAAAATATTTAGATACTAATCAGAAAGTTATCTCTTATGCTTGGGATTATAGCAGACTAAATCTCTGTGAATCAGAAATTGGTTCAAAATACAAGTATTTAGGCCACAAATATTGGGCAAAAATAAGTAACTCAATGGTAAAGCAATAAAATTAAAACAATTGATCAAATGAGAGAACAGAAGTTGGGCTACATTGTAAGTCTGTGCAAAGAGCAGGGACCCAAAGATGCCCACAAAAGGCCCTAACAGGAGAAGGAAGAGTCACAGCTGTAGACTGCTCACTTCTTCCCACTGTTTCTCCCCCTAAACTCAGCCCACTTGCAACCCCTCAAATAGTGAAGTAGCCTATCCATAGCTTCCTACAGGGAAGTGGAAAGGGAGCAAGCGGATGGAGGATAGGGCATGTGATAGGCCCTGCCTCTTGTGCTACAGGTCAGAGACAGCATTGCCTGGCCCTGCCAGCTCCTCAGTTCCCTCCCTGATCCTTCCACACTCTCCAGAGGGTTCCCCACTACCTCTGCAGTCACTGCCTCCCCTCCTCTCCCCCCCACACTCAGAGTATTCAGTGTTCCTTCTTTCCAAACCCCTCCTTTGTAACTGGAATTATACCCAGCCATTGTTTCAATTATTGCTTAGTAAAAGCTATTATTTTTCCAAAACAGAAATACACACAGGGTCTCAATATGAATGATGAGGCTTACAAGGCAATACATTTTCTGCTTTGAGGAATTCTCTACAACCAGAAGCACAAAACGAAGAACTAATGGGTCCCTACTCAAAATGACTTGAAAAATAGGTGAGAATGCAGAAAGCAAAAGCTAGAAACACCTGGGGATGCCTACATGATGATTACATTATCATGGCTTGACAACAAGCTCTAGTAATGCTGACAGCATAAATGACTATCTGGGGAAAGGAAAAATGCAACAAAGAAACAAGGAGGGAGCGGGAAGGAAGGAGAAAAGGAGAGAAAAGGGAAGGAAGAAAAAAAGATCTAAGGCTCTGCCTTATCTTAAAAGTCCAACTCCAAGTAGAAAAATGGATAAAAGCAAGATTCCCTACCACTCACCCAAGAAAATCATTCTTCAGTGCTGCACGTGGCTGTCTGCCAGGGCACACAAAGTGCTTGTAGGCAGCAACCATATGCTGCAAGAATTGTAAACTGCATCAAATTTGAAGGAGACAGGGTAATAAAAAATGCTAGCCATGGGAAAAAAATAGGTAAGTGGCCTGTCACTACTTGAGAACCTACATATTTTTGGAGGCTTAAAATATTATAACTTCAGGCTTCCTAGCCAAATTCAACATTAATGGCAATCTTAGTGATTTAAACATTCATTTAATTCAGAGCCAAATAGTCACCATAACAATTCAGCAAGGTCTCCTCTCCCCCTGTTTACAGAGGCCAAACTTCCAAGAATGGAAGAAGAGCAGATAATCACAGTAGTTCAGGCTGAATGTTTAGCGAGACAGATGGGAGAGGAGCCGAAATGCAATAATTCAAGTATTTTAACACCCAAAGTTCTTTGGGTTTTTTTTTTTTTCCCCATCTAAAAAGCTCGTATAGCAACATATTACTCACTGCCATGGATCTCTTGGGCAGAGTTTCAGATACATGAATTTGTCTGAAATTTGCAAAGCTTAATATAGGCTGTGGGGGGATTATTTTAATATCCAAAGAATGTTTTAATATAGTCATTTGTGTTAATATTTAGGCTTACTAATTATAACTATAGCTCAGAAGATATGAAGGAAGCAAGAATTTCTCTTCTTTATCAAGTTCATAGGACTCTTTCTAGAGATGCCAAATTTACTTTCCAGAACCCCTAGAGCTGTTGCTATATTCTAAATGTGTGCCTCTATTGAAAAGGCCCTCCTCTTCACAAGTGCTCTAGTAGTGGCTTTATTTTATTTTCATTCATATTTATTTTTACTTTTATTACTTCTATGTCTCAACAATACTTTAAAAGACTGTGATTTTTTTATTCTATTGTTGATTGAATTCTTGGTCTCTGAGTAAAATATACATGGAATAAACACTGAAAGTCTTGGGGGAGGGGGGTGTGTCTGTATTTTGAGAGTAAGAGAAGGAGGGAGAAAGGGATAGAGAGAATATGACTGTCCAGGGCTAACAGAAGAGCAAAACCCAGACCCTCTGTCCCCTCTACCTCTGGTCTCCTACGAACATGCTGGCCTCACAGGAAACTGTGCTGTCACAGGTTTCTCTGACATGTGTCCTCTCTGGAATATTCTGAAGGGGTGTAGAGTCAAGAGGAGTGTAGAAGATGTCAGCTCATTTCTCCTCTACCCACTTCTATTAACTGCTCCAAGAATTTTCTCTAACAAGACCTGCAGTATCTTGGATCTCTTGGTTATTCTCTCTTCCCCATCCACATTGATCCCAGAGGACCTCCTTGAATGAGCCATTTCCCAGCATGCTTTGAGAAGAGGATTGCTTATCTCAAGTGGAGAAAAAGATCAAACTCTGCTCTTAAGATTTTTTAACTCCTCTTTGCAAAATGTGTATCTATATACATCTTTTAAATGGGTCTTTTTTTGAGATGACAAAAATATATAATCTATAACAAAAGCATATATGTGTTCATTGGAAGGAAAACGAGGCTGCTTTTCAATAAGACTAAAAAATTACAGGACAGAAATCATTTAAGTAAATTGCCTCTGCCCCTTCTCCTCTAACCAGTACCTAAATCCAGTATCTAGGGAAAATTAAAATCATTTAAAATGTAAAGAATTTAACAAAAGGAGATATGAAATAAAAATGATGACTCTGGTTCCTAAAATTTGTTCCTATCATAAACTGACAATTAGGATTTAGGAGGCAAGTAGGGCGTAGAGGTTAAATTTTTTCTCATTTTTAGAAACTGAACATTAAAGTTAATGTTGTATGAACCATGAGGGCATTTCACAGAAGTATTTATAAATGATGGTAATAAAAGTTTTTTCTAGACCTTAATAAGCTGTATCCTCATTACCTGAAGCGGTCTCATTGGTGGAATACTCTAATAGAAGTTCTACAAATGCTAGTTGCTGTTTCATGTTGTGATTGCACACACATTCACACACAAACACACGCACACATATAAAATTTGACCTGGATTTAATTCTGTCCTTTTACGTTCACTAAATCCAAGTGCAAGTTCTCTTCCTGCTGGATTTTAATGCTTCAGATTCTATTAACAAACACCAACATCTATCAACTTTGAATTTTTTTGAAGTGAACTACTGTGATATCCAACTGCCTCATGTCATAATTAAAACACACGTAGGTGTAAAACTCATCATTTCAGAGTTGACAGTCAATTAATGGCAGGTTATATCAAGTAACACAGAAAAACCATAGAAGCCAAGCAAGAAGATTTTACATTAAGAGAGGAAAAGGGACAGAGAAAAGAGATGTGGGTCTTTATCAGATTCAATCTGATAGCTATTATATAAAAGAAAAAGTAAAAAGATAAAACTTACAGACTATTGAGGATACCAAGGGGAGAGGTACATATATTGGTGGATTCTCTTGTGAAAGCAAAGCAACATGGCAGTGGTGAGCAAGAGCCATAATTACACTGATTCCTTCCACGGCACAACTTCCCCCTCAGGAATTTTTACAACAGGGTGTCCATGCTTTGTTGTCCTTCTTGCTCCCCT